TATCATTCATAAAATAATTCTGGGCCTGCATGCAACATTCTTATTTAAAGCAGTTAGAAGTTCAGTTTATTTGTACTTCTAAGCAACAGATAAATACAAATAAAATACAGAGGGGAAGCTGCCTTACTGTCAAAATAAAATGAAAGATCCAGATTTATGCTTACTTAAAGATAAGGAAATTAGCAGTGCAGTTGCTCTATACCTTCTAGAGTCAAAGACAGACAAAGGTTTATCTGAAGGTTAAGTCAAAGGACAAAAGTTCAGTTTATGTCCAGAATTCTGCAGGTAAGCCTTCATACCGTTACATTCCACATTCCTTCATTCTGATTTTTTTCCTAGGAAATGCAGTCCCAACACCATGACAAAGGAAGGACATGGTTTCTCTCCAGGCTGAGTACCTCCAGCCCTAAACCCACCATTCCAAATAGCCTCACATCTCTAATCCATGAGTGCAAACGCGTGAGTTTACCTGGAAGAAAAGCAGCTGCAAGGCCCTTCTATTCAGGATGTCACATATCCCACACAAATGAACTCTGATCAATTAAACAACTCATTTACACTGCTTGTCTCTGCAGACCACGGGGTAACAGCTGGGACTCAGGAATCATCACCTGCACACCACTTCCATCATGCCCCCAACATATGGTGCCAGGCACGGACACGGAGAGCAGGGAAGGACAACCAAAGGACAGCAGAGCCCTGGAAACAAACCTAGCAGGCTGGTTTCACTGAACCAGGGGATTCAAGGCAGCAGCACTCATTCAGTACTTCAAAGACTAACAATCCTGTGACAGGCAGGTGATATTTATGGTTATTCAGAAGGAGAACCAGAAGAATGACACCCCCTGGTAGCCAACTCTAGGCTTTCCAAAGGGTGGAGATATTCCAAGAAGTGCCCTCTAGAGAAATGCCTTTCCAGGTGTCCATTAGAAATGAGTGTTTAAACCTAGGGAAGAGGGAGCAGCTAGGAAGGCTCAGAAAGGATGCAACAGGCTCAGAAAAGTAAAAGAGTTTTCTGTATATAAAGGGATAAAGTCGGTACAAAAAACCCAAACGAATACAAACCATCTGTGAGTAAATATAGACCAAAAATTAGAGGGTGTTTTGTTTCTAACCAGCAGGGCAATGAAGTTATAAAACTGCCTTCTGTGAGGAGCAGAACAAAAGACTTGGTTTTCATCAGACCTTGTTCAGGTTCTGAGAGGGATCACAGGAGAACATTATTTATCAAAGCAAGGTGTGAAAGGCCCAGAAGAGGCCCTTTATACTCCAGCTTGCCAGAGGTTGGCTTGGATTCTTAACCTTCAGTGCACAAACCAAGCCTCTGGCTCCTGGACTGGCTATATACATACACAGATCCCAAAGATGTTAATGCTAAGACAGATAATGTTATTATCCTGAATTTGTTCCAGCTTCTTCACTAATCTGAGGAGCTGCTAATCAACAGCTGTTGAAGAAAAATCTTTATTCAAATCCTATTAAATTGTGTGAGCCACACAAGCATCAAAGCAGACCTGTGGTGTTTTGATGTCCATGATAATTACAACTTACAACAGTGTGTTTCATTTGCACCAGTGTATTAGGCATTCTTCTGCTCAACTCCAGGCTGTACTCCCACTCTGGGATTAAAAAAAATTTGCAAAGTACAGCTGAACATTGACCCTGATTTTATTTTCTCTCTCGTGTGTTACATGTCATGGAAATCCCCTACTTCAAACTTCTTTCCTTAATATTTTCCTGTGATACAACCAGGAGCCAAATATATCCCTACACCTTGTGCTCTGCTGTCAAGGAGCTTAATAAAGGGAAAAATTTATACAGCTGGAGTTCAATGTGATTGCTTCCCTTTTCCTGACTCTGGCAACCTGGATTGGTCTAATGGCTTTAGAGAATCCCGTGTTAAACTTCACTGCAGCACAACAATGTTCCTTTTTCTAGTCACTTGCCATTCAGAGGTTAAATATCAAAATAAATATCAGGATGTTTTGACATTAGAATACTCCTATTTGCCTATTCTCAAATGAAATGCTACATTTGATCTTGAACTGCAATCCATTTTGTTTCTTTTAAGATGTCCTACAAGTTCACTAGTGTAGTCTGGGCACTGAAAGCAAACAAGAAATAGCAGATCTGAGACCCACACAGTAAACTGATCCTGGATTTTGGCAGGATAAGCCTATCAGATCTGAACTCTGTTTCTGCAGCCAGGTGACTCCTGTGACCTGAACTTGCTCAATTACAATTGGCTTTGATATCTCCATATACAGCAGCAGAACAGCCTCACCTTCTCTTCTCTTCATTTCAATCCACATTAATAAAATAAGTGACAGTTGGCAATAATCCATTATAATTTCTGAATAATTCCACTCAAGGCCAAATTAGCTTTTAACTACAAGTCAGAAAGTCTCATATGCCATCATAAGGGCTACTCCATTTGGGCTTTCAACCCAGGCTTTTTCAGGGACCTTTTCTGTTACTAGGTTACTGAAAAGGGAAGTTACTGATGTTTTCTTTGTAACCATCAGCTACTGCATAATTAACTTTTCCCTAAAGGTGTTTCTATAAAGTTACTTTAAAAGAAATACAAACATCGCAGCCTTAATGCCACCACAAAGCCCAGCAGAAAGGCACTCAAGCACGACAAGAATGTCTTCGTCCCCATCAGCAGTTTCCATCACCCAAATACTTCACCCAAGACACAGGAACACATTCTCTCAGCAGGCACTCACAGTGCCTCAGTCCTCCACCTGTTTTCATAAAACCTGGATGAATATGGTAACATCAACTGTTCTATCACAATCTCAAGCTGAGCTGACGTTTATTAACATTTCCAAGAGAAATCACTAAGCAGAAAAAGCATGGTCACCCTCTCATAAGGGGTACAATGGAGAACACAAGGCTGTAACCTGCTTTATCCCTCTCGAGATGCTCAGGAAGTACTTACAGTAGGTACCAGGACATCATGTTCCTTTACAAAAATGAACCAGAGTAGCTACAATAGTTACACCCAGTTATCAGACCATGCCACATGAACCACAGCTTTTGCTGCTTCTTTTTAATCTCTCTGATTCCTGGAATAAGTAGAGAAGTTTGACCAAGTTCAGATGCACCAACTCAACCAGTATCTTGGCTGACACACACCAAATTCAGCCTAACAATGTGTTTTGTTACACCAACAGTTTAATCCACTGCCACACACATTGCAATACAAGCCAGTGTAAGGACAGGTGAATTTTCCAAGGCCATACGAATTAAAACAATCTGATAGGAAAGACACAAACAGAGCAATTTTAGTCATTTGGGTCAGTCCAAAGCCTGCAAACCATAATACAAAACAAGCCCAATTTGTAACACAGAAGAAGTAAAAAATTCTGGCAATGCTGACCCTTATGATTTGCCTACAACTACTCAAGAAAAATATCCACTATTTTATCTTAATTATCATCACATCAGTTCACTGTTAACCAACTTGTTTACAATACTTTTTCTCAGAACAATGGGGTTTAGGACACCACTGCGAAAAGACAAGATGACACTTGGCCAAATAAATAAAAAACCCCTTAATTTTTCAAAAAGTAGTGCCAAACTCACAGTTAGCTATGAGTAAGTCCATTACAAAAGGAAAGTCCCTCCACGGAGTTCTGTGGAAAACAGGCTGTCTCTGGTTTAAGACCCCTGTTGCCCCACGCCATCCTCTTTGCACCCTCGAGGCCCACAGTGACGCACTAACAATCCCCACCAACTGCAGGGAATTTTTGCCTTCAGCCTAAAAGCCAACAGGAAACTCCTATACCTCAGCATGGAGTAGGAAACTACTTTTGGATAAGGTGGACGCTTGGGAAGACAAAAGCATTAAGGAAAACAGGATAAAGCTCTGCTTTGACTATTATTAAGCCACAAACTTATTTACTCAAACTCATGTCAGATGAAGCCCAGCGCCTGTTCTCCTTGTTGAGGGCAAATTCCTTTCAAATTTAGCTTCTATTTAAGGTATGTCACAAGTATTTCCTTTGCCATCCTTACCATTGTTGTTTGTTGCTAGCCCCTTCCATGCCTCACAACTGAAATGGGGCAATAAAGTTTTCCACAGTCACGCAAAAGACTTCTATGCTTGAGGAAGTGAAGCATTCTGTTCCAGTAAAAAATAAAGGGGGTGAGTTATTCAAACAAGCAGCCTCCCTAATGCTTTCTTAATGAAAGATAAATAGGAACACGAGATAGTAGGCAAAACTGGCAAACAAAATAATTAAGGAATAAACTGTGTACACAGAAACAATCAAAACAAAAATAGACCTCTTAGGTTACTTGAAACAAATTTAAAGGACTAAATCTACAGGCTAATTTTCTACTGGACAAAGCAAGCTTGAACAGCCACCTCAGCTCCATAAGACTCTCTAAGACATAGGATCCTAAAGGGGACCTCACTCAGGCACAGATTTTATCACTTTCCCTGACTAACTTGGAAATCCCAAACAGCTGAGACAGGAGGATTGATTTCTACTTAAAGCCCTTCACACCTCTTCCTCCCCTAAACCTCAGCAAACAAGGATTTAGCTTCCTGGGGCTCTGCTCATTTTCCTCACAGTGGTGCTGCTACTCTGTGCATGGACAAGGTAACCAACAACAGTCTCTGAAACAACAAAATACTGGAAATTTTTATTAGGGATTGTTTTGGCCAATAAAGTAGCTTAGGAAACAACTCTGGTTGTAAAGTAATAAGTCTCAAAATAAAGTCTAACCCCAAATTTACATTTATCTTTGTAGTATCTCTAAATGTGTATTAAGATGAGACATACTCTTCCTCTGTTTTACTTATGCTTTTAATTAATTACACCTTAATTTATATAGTATACTATCTGCATTCAAGTACTAGTTTTAGATTTTAAAACTGTTACAGGTAGAGAAATTCATGTCAACAATAATTTGCTGCTTGTATATATGAAAAGAATAAAATAGTTCAGTTAGAAGTGACCTACAACATAGTATTTTAAAAAGTAGTTATGTTGAAACTCATTTGTGGAGATATCCTGAAAGTTTTAAAGCAGCTCCTACTCTTTAAAACGTGAGAATTCATAATACAAGAGTGCTCAGCACTGCACGGAAGGAACTTTTTTTTAATTCAGTAAAAATAATTTATTTCAGTAAAAATTTACTCTCAGTGAACTGGTGACAAGGGGAACGGTTTTAAACTGAAAGAGGGCAGATTTAGATTAAATATGGGAAAGAAATTCTTCCCTGTGAGGGTGGTGAGGCCCTGGCACAGGTTGCCCAGAGAAGCTGTGGATGCCCCATCCCTGGAATATTCAAGGCCAGGTTGGATGGGGCTTGGAGCAACCTGGGATAGTGTAAAGTGTTCCTGCCC